CCTAGATTAGATTCCACAGTGGGGACCAAGATAGTATTTTCAACCCAATAACCCCACCCACCTCCCATCACTGCCCAGCAGCTAATGTGTACACAGTGATATTTTCAAGTTAAGGCAGATTAGGCAAAAGCTGTTTTTAAAATAAAGTTTACCTAGAGATAAAAGCTACAAATGCGTTTTTTTCCTTTGGATAGAAATATAAAGAAAAATACCACTCCTGGTTCTATCAATCAATTATAACCAGAATTAAGATATTTTCTATGTAATATTTCTATTCTTTTAAGATATCTGTGAATATACTGCATATCAAACTTTGTATCCTGCTTTAAAAAAAAAACAACTTTTAAGTATGCTTACAATCAACATAAACACTTTGAACATTTTAAATATCTGAGTAATAACAGAGTGCCTTATAACTGGACACTTTGTTTTTGCTTCATTTTTCATAATCATTATGTTTTATTTTATTTTTTAAGATTTTTTTTAAAGATTTATTTTTATTTATTAATGTGTCCAGAACTGGGGTACAGGCCAGAGGAACAGGGGTGGTGAGAGAATTCATCAGAGACAGAGTGGGGAGCAGAACAGGCAGACTGACGAAGTACACTGCTGAGGGGAGCAGCGGGTGGGTCAGGAGAGGTCTGCCGCACCATATGGGTCAGCTCCCTGGCCAGGGATAGAACTCGTGCTGCAATGGCTTCAGAGAGCTAATAATGCGGTGCTTTAACCCATTGTGCCACCAGGGAAAACCCAAGATTTATTTTTATTGGGGCCTCCCTGATGACACAAGGGGTTAAGTCTCAGTGCTATGAAGCTCTGGGCAACCACTGCAGCATGAATTCAATTCCCGGCCAGGGAGGTGACCCACATGGTGCAGAAGACCTTTCCTGTCTTGCCTGCTGCTCTCCTCAGCAGTGTATTTCAGTAGATCCTCCTGCTCTGCTCCCCACTCTGTCTCTTGTAATCTTCCTACCCCTGCAGCCCTAGGCTGCACCCCAGTTCTTGCATGTATAAATAAATAAAAGACATAGACCAGAGACTTTCTAAAGTGAGCTCATAAGCCCATGTACTCAAAAGAATGACCTTCAGTTCTTCAAAGAACCTATATTCTGATAGATCTGTGTCTGGGCAAAAATGTGAGTAAGATCTAGGATTCAAGGAATGCGGAATTAGATTTGAGTCATATGTCAGAAAAAGCAGTTTAATGAATACATACATAAGTGTCATCATGTCTCTGAATAAAGGGGACTTAATATCAATGTTCTACTTTCAAATCTCATTCCTTAAAAAAATTAATTCCAGCCCTTCCTGGTGGCACAGCGGGTTAAAGCACAGTACTAAGAAGCTAAAGCCACTTCAGCCTAACCCAGAGGCGATCCACATGGCAAGGGATACCTTTCCTGACTCACTCGCTGCTCCCCTCCTTTTGTCAGTCGGCCTGTCCTGCTCCCTACTCTGTCTCTGGTGTATCCTTTCACCACCCCTACACCTCTGGCCTGTACCTCAGTTCTGTATGCATAAATAAATCTTTGAAAAAAAAATAATTCCACCTGAGAAGAAACAAAAATCTAGAAGTCAAATATCTGTTATTTGATTAGAACATGAAGCAGAGGTGCAGCTTGCAAAGAGCTAAAGCACTATTCCCAAGTGAAGTTTCCGCTTCCTCAGGTGCACCTGCTTACTGTCCTCAGCAACAGATAGATGGTAAGTGATACTGTAGTCACAACAAAGATGATTTGGCTTTATAAAACAGCTTTCCTGATGGCACATGGGTGACTCGGTGATGGTAAACCCACGGGGATTACAATTGAGATTAAAAAAAAAAAATCAAAATGATGTAAAAATAAACTATTATATTATATATATACATTAAAAAAAAAACAGCTTCCACAGTTGCTCCTTCAAGTAATCAATAGTGAATATGCAATTCTGGAAAAAAGTTGGAAAGATGACTCTACTAGGTTTAATTTTCATTGCAAAAGGTTTGGATACACCACATAGCTGTGAAAGTTTTCTCTGGACAGAGTTCAATCCTTTGCAGGGGCTAAAAAAGAACTGGGGGGGGAGGGGGAGCGGAGAAACACAGAGAAGAATTGAGCACAAAAGCCACCCCTGAAATAAACAGGGCAGTTGATGGAGAGAAAGGGAGAAAATGAGGGAAGGGCAGATGACTCATTAACGTCATTTTCAACAGGGTGGCTCTCAGTCTGATTTCTCCTATTTTCAGTTAAATCTGACCACTTGTCTTCTTCCTATGTCACTCAAATTTTACTGAGGGCTCAATTTCTCGTTTTTGTAAATTCCTTTGATCTTGATTCAAAGTTCTAAAATTTCCTCTGATAATGTCCTCACTGACATTTACTCATATTATTAAGCTTGGCAAACACATAGCTTTTTCAAAATCCTTTGGATTATAAAGCTAAGTCATAAGGAACCAGGAAGAGATGATTAAAGAGATTACTTAAGATTAATTTTATTCAGGAAAAGGTACCTCACTAAATCAATAAATATTTACTCAGTGCTGCGAAGGCAGTAGTATTAGGTAGTGAAGCTTAATAAAAGGGGTGGGGGGTGTGAAATGCTAGGAAGGAGATTATTGGATAAAATGATAAAATTGGATAATGAATGATTTATTAGAATAAAACAGGCAATGGAGTAAGTTCTGGGGATGTAATGTCTGTGACAAAATGGTGACTATTATTAGGAATACTGACCTGTACATTCAAGCAAGAGTAGATATTTGGAATTTCACTGTAAAGAGAGCAGATGGTCTACTATGGATCTCTTGGTGGTGGGTGTGGTGTAATGACAGTATCTGAAGAGATGTGATCCTGTGTCCCTAGATTACATTCAGTCTTATGAACTAATGCTATGTCAATAAAAATAAAAGTTGCACCATGCTTACACAAAATGTTGTCTATGTGTGAAGTGATGAATTTGCTAAATAACCTTATCATGGTAATCATTGTGTAATATATACATACAGAAAATCACGACACTGTACACTGTAAACTTACACAATTTTGTCATTCATAATTCAATAAACTGGAAAAAAGAGATAATATTTTATATTAATATTATTATAATTTTTGACATAGGGTGTAAGTATAAATTACACATTGGATTTCAAAGACGTGATACAAAAACCAGTATATACTATCAAAGTTAATTTGACTTGTTTACTTGTTTACACATCTTTCCCGTGTTAAACTTTGTGAAGTTCTACTTTTTAAATGTCTACTAAGGACATTTCAAATTATGAATGTGTCTTAAATTACATTTTTATTGGCTAGGACAAAGAGGTTGGCACAAGGAGTGACAAATTCATGTCAGTAAAAGATTTTAAAAAGTATCCTTTGTACAATTTTTAAATTTTATAATTTTCCTGTAAATTTGAAATTACTGTCAAGAATTTTTTAAATGTTTAGTTTTACACTGAGGATAAATAAAAATTAAAGACAAAATTTTGAAGAGAAGTTCATATACCTATTTGAATTTATACCTACTTGAATTTTAAAATGAGGGGTGAGAAGGAAGAAAGAACAGAAGAGAGATTCTAAATATGACTAATTTAGAGATGCCCAATATAATTAGGGGATTGTGATTTTAAATGACCTAATAAACATCATGATTTCACATCAGCCTCAGAAAGGAAGCCAAACAACTAACAACTCACCCCTCTGGAAAGAAGGCATTGATGATCCGGTCCCCTAGTGGGTTGATAGCAAGTTCTGGAATCCGCTGGAAATCTTCCCGGCTGCCAAGAAGTAAAGATCATTGGCCATTAGCATGAACTTCTCCAGTCATGCGAGGATATAACCCAGCAAGAATAATAATTCTTCCTGGAATTGACTTCTATGACAAATCATACCAAGCAACTACAAACAATCGTATTTTAATAGCTGCCAAGTGTTTCCGGCACCAACTCAGAGTGGAAGAAGCCAGGTTTGACTATGTCACATTCCAGTGAATTCAGCACACAGTTTACGTCAATAAAGTAACTGACAAGAAAATACTAAGCTGTCCCTGTAAATGATTCCTTGAACATTACCATTTTGTATTTAGTTATTAAGTTTGGTGAGTGAAAAGTAACTGCCGTGTTATCTATTCCACAGAGCTTGAATATAAGAGCAAAAATTCAGAGGAGCTTTGAAAATACTCTTGGTAGAAGAATCTACAGCATCGATGAAATACAAGGGACTCTTGAGTAATGTTTATGTCTGAGAAAGACTAAAATGTAACTAACAGATTTCCTCACTTCCTTGTTCTGACATTGACTTTTTCACCACTCTTTTACAGAGGACAGCTATAGTATTTAATCCTCAAACATGCAAGAGCAGTCATTCTCTCATAACTTGGAGACTATGTTGAAGTGAACAGTATTCCATTCACTGTACACAAATTACATGCCAACCTAACTCCGTTTATATACATTATCTCATTACTTCATGCCAACATTTTATTTATTCCATTTCAAAGCTTAGGAAATGGAGTCAGTGAAATAAAATAACATGTCCAGTGCTAGTGCTACAAAGCAAGTAAGTGGCAGAACTGCCACTGAAATCCAACTCTGTAAATCAAAACACATGTTCTTTTCTAAAAACCACATCTTTCCTATGTTAAACTTTTTGAAATGTGCTCTCCAAAAACAGTACTCAGCAAGTAAATTTCTTTGGTTGAGTCCTGTGCCAAGAACAACAAAAGTCTGTAAGTCTTCAAAATGATCAATGTCACGAAGGACAAAGAAAGGCAGATGATTGTTACAGATCAAGGGAAGCTGAGATATAAGTGAACTCAATTCATTATCCTAGAATAGAAAAAAATTGCTATGAAGGACATTATTGAGCCAATAGATAAAAATGGAATATGAATTACCTAGAATATGGAATATTACGGTATCAAATGTTAAATTTCTTGATTTTGAAATAATAATGTCTTTGTTATACGAAATACACACTGAAGTATATGGCAAAATGTTAACTGGTGAATCTGATATCAGGAATATGAACGTTCTTTACACTACTCTTATAACTTTTCCATAAGGTTGAAAAAATTTCCAGATAAAAAGTAAAAACATATTTTTAAAGAAACATTAACTCAAAAAGACCTGATTTCAGCCTTTAAAGAAGTTTATTAACTGAAGAGATAAAACTTAACTTCTCCATCCCATCCCATTTATCATACTAAATTTTCTTATTTTATCCAGGTGCCTTCAAATACTCTGTGCGTTGGTTGAACATTTACATCAACTCAATAAATTCCCCTCAACATCTAGTGGAGGCACAAATAGAAACTAATCTAGGGAAATGAGCACCAAGTTCTAGAATAATAATTCTGGATTCTAACTTTCCTTGATCGTTTGGGATGAGCATTTTTACATCAATGAATAAAACAGAGGCCACTCATAAACTAACTGAGTTGGTTAGTTTATGATAATTAAACTGTATTTATTTTTTAAAAGATATATTTATTTATGCATACAGAACTGGGGTACAGGTCAGAGGTACGGGGTGAGAAGATTCATCAGAGACAGACTGGGGAGCAGAACAGGCAGATCTACTGAAATACACTGCTGAGGGGAGCAGCAGGCAAGACAGGAAAGGTCTGCTGCGCCATGTAGGTCACCTCCCCGCTCAGGGATTGAACTTGTGTTGCAGTGGCTTCAGAGAGCTTCACAGTGCAGCACTTTAACCTGTTGTGCCACCAGGGAGGCCTCAATGATTAAACTTTTAAAGGAAATTACTGAAATCCTGATTATTTAATTAAACAAACATGTACTAATCCCTTATATAATTTGTGCTATGATACAAAGTCCACATTATCAACAAAACATAGCTTCTCTTGTTTGACAGAGGTGAAGAAACAATAACTATTCCCTTTCAAATGAAGATTAAGGCTGATTTGAATTGCATGGCTACATACCTCAGTTTAATGTCTAACAAGCTTCAGTAATTTTAGTAGAGAAAAGGCACAGTTTAAACACCAGTTGAGGGCACAACCTAACCTTAGTCTCAATAAAGGATCAAGACATAGATTTCCAATGTCAACAGGTGCCTAGATCCTGTCCTTTGAGACTTTTAAACTCTACTCTTAAAGTATAAAAAAGTTTGCGAACTGTTAAAACAGTAAATAATTTAATTGTTCTATCACAGAATGGAGATGATCTGAGCAGTGTCTCTAAATTTACCTGCTCCAACACAAAGCTAAGAGAAAAAGAAATATTTCAAATGGTGTGCATACCACAAGTGTTAAGATTTGTAAGAAATGTAGACTTCTGAGTACTCATTTAAAAATATATATACCAACGTTATATTCTACCTCCTAGTAAACCTAAGGAAATATTCCTCGAAGAGGAAGCTGTTTTTTTTTTTGTTTTCTGTTTTTTGTTTTTAAAGAAAACACATGATTACTGAGCAGAAGACAAGTCTGAGAATGGAATCATGTATATTGGCATTTTTTATGACCAAGAAATTCCCCATGAAGAGTAGTTTTCCAGTCACTCATGGGCATAGGAAAGCTCTGAAGAAAATCCATTTTGAGAGACTTTTAGTTAACTTGAAGTTATTTCCATTTTTAGGAGAGGAGCCTATATTTACCAGGGGTTCTCATCTATCAAATGGATACTCATTTGTAAATCTTTCAGTAATTTTTTTAAAAAGATTTATTTATTTGTACATACAGAACTGGGGTATAGGCCAGAGGCTCAGGAGTGGTGAGAGGCTTCACCAGAGACAGAGTGGGAAGCAGAACAGGCAGATCGACGAAGTACACGCTGAGGGGAGCAGCAGGCGGGTCAGGAGAGGTCTGCTATGCCATGTGGTCACCTTCCGGGCAGGCGGGAATCAAACCCATGCGGAAGTGGCTTTAGCTTCTCAGTGCAGTGCTTTAACCCGCTGTGCCACCAGGGAGGGCCCTTTCAGTAAGTTTTACTCTTCAGGAATTTTTCAGAACAAGTTGATGTACTGAAATATACTGCTAAGGGGAGTAAAGGGTGAGACAGGAGAAGTCTGCTATGCCATGTGGGTTAATTCCTTGGCTGGACAGGGCTCGTACTCATGTTGCAATGGCTGCTCACAGCTTCATAATGCTATGCTTTTACCCCTTGCACCACCAGGGAGGCCCCTTTGTGTTTTTTTTTTTTTTCTCCTGCATAGAAGAACTGGGGAATAGGCCAGAGGTGCAGGGGTCATTGGTAAAAGGATTCACCAGAGGCAGATCAGGGAGCAGAACAGGCAGACTGATTGAAATAATACGGCCAAGATGAACAGTGGGTGAGACAGGAAAGGTCTGCTGTGCTGTGTAGATTATGTGGGTTAGCTCCCTGTCTGGGGGATCGAACTTGTGCTACAGTGGCTACCAATAAAACAGTGCTGAGACTTAACTCTTTGTGTCATGAGGGAGGATCCCATATTTAAGTTTTATAGTGGAGAAATTATTTATACTTAAAATATAGTTATATTAACATGGAAATGACAATTTCTCTTATATAAGGCATATAGTTAACATTTTTTTTTTTAAAGATTTATTTATTTATTCATACAGAACTGGGGTACAGGCCAGAGGCTCAGGGGCGGTGAGAGGCTTCACCAGAGACAGAGTGGGGAACAGAACAGGCAGATCGACGAAGTACACTGCTGAGGGGAGCAGCGGGCGGGTCAGGAGAGGTCTGGCTCGCCATGTGGTCTCCTCCGGGGCAGGCGGGAATCGAACTCATGCGGAAGTGGCTTTAGATTCTCAGTGCTGTGCTTTAACCCGCTGCGCCACCAGGGAGGGCCTAGTTAGCATTTTTAATGTAACTGGTAAGATAATTTTTATATTGTTGTTCGGTAGCAATTTTTTTTCATAGAAAGTCTTTGTTAGTTGTTTCAGTGTTCCAGGGCCAGTCTAGGTTATTTGCTAGGCTGTACCAGACTTTTGGTTGAAGGTGGTAGATACATACACATCTACCATCTCTCAGTGTCTAAGACCCCCTGAAATGCTAACAAAAGTGTGTCCATGGGACTTCATCTATGACAGAAACAACTATGGTGGGAGGAGTATACTAGTAGATAAGGGATTTGACAAATCCTGGCAATCTGAAGGAAGATGCAAATGTACTGCAGCAGAACTGAGAGCCAATTTGCTGCCCTACAAAATCTCAGCAAAGTAGCACATACACAGCTATCTGGCAAGGGCAACAACAGTCAGTGAGATTGATTAAAAAAGTTTTTTGAAGAGCAGTCCAGCTGACCACTGCTGTTATAATCTACCACAAAAATATGAAACCGTATGTCCACATGATTAAGAAAACCGCTATAGAAAGAAAATGGTCTTTGTAACCAGGTCTTAGTTAAAGATCTGAAGTTAAGTATGGGAGGCCAGTCCCCCAGGAATACAGTCCTATCTGGGGGAAGGGACTGCAAATCTGTCCTCATGCTTCCTGACTATATACACTAAAAGTAAGGTCAATCATCTTACTGGCCCGGCTTGCTATGTAGAGGGCTTGAATTCAGCCCTTCCACATAAGGAGAGAGACCTGTGGAAAAAATAACACAAACAACCCATGCCAGCTTTCAATAGCATTCCACCTAGTCTTTCTCTAACTATAAATGGATAACCAAAACTTAAAAGAAGAGGATCAAGATGAACAGCAATAATGGTAATTCAGGGAACAAAGGAAAGTTTTGAAAGATCCTATTAGGTAACTCAATAGACATTTGATGCAAGTATTGGTAATTTTTGCATTAGTAGGGCTAAAAAATATATATATAAAATTATATATGATACAACCAAGGTCAAGAACATGAGATGTCCTTGGAAATTAAAAATATGACTATGCACTAAAGAAACACATCAAAAGGACTGAAAAATAAGTTCAAAAATACCTTTCAGAAAGCAAAGGAGAAAAATCAAGTGACCATGAAATAATGAAATTAAATTTGAGGCATTGATGGCCTAATAGCCAGCCAACCAACAGAAATACCAAGAAGATCAATAAACAGAGGAGGAGGAATTAAGAGAAGAAAACTTCCCAGCTAAAGATCAAAATGGTTTACCTAGTACTAGGAAATAAATGATGAAAAATAACCCATACAAAAGGTACATCTTTGTGAAATCTCAGAACATCAAGTAGATATCTTAAGTTTTCAAAGAGATTAAAAAAAAAAAAAAGAGTATCTACTAAGAAATGAGAACTAGACTGGCATCACGGTTCTTGTCAGAGAAACTCCATTCTGCAAAGACTGATAACCACTGTAAGCAAAGCAAGTCTTTGTCTAGGATACTGAAATCATCTGTTACCTGGATAAGGTCAAACAAGAAACCAAAGCACAAAAGTACTTAGTGTTTAATCAGGTAAAACGCAATTGCTGGGGGGCGGAGGGGGGGGGAAGATGCCCTCCACAAACAGGTTTTATGGACTCCACCCCCACTCCAGACCAAAGAGATCCAAGCCACCAAGAACTACAAATCCCATAATGTCATCATCACGAAAGGGAGGATTGCTGGGAACTGAAGATGGAGTTAAGTAGCCAGGTTTGGTATATAACCAGATATGTGGGCCTGGGGGCGTCTCTTGGCTTTTCACTGGCTCTCATCTTGCAATTGGGATTCCAGCCAGCAGAACTGGTAAGATGCATGCATTCACCAATTTATCTCCTCTTTCTCCCTGAGTTACTAGTTTCTTCATTTCCCCTTCTCTTGTAAGTAAACCCTTTACCAACCTTTTGGTGTATGCCTCAGTTGAACCTTATTGTTAAGTCTGTTTTAAGGACAGGGGTGAAGACCCACAGTCAGGCAACCCATTTCATATAGGGGTTGCCCTGTTGACAGTTTGGCAACCAACTATTCTTGTAACACTATCACTCAGGACAAATCAAAAATTTACCATGGTTGAAGTAACATTTTTTTAAAAACATGAAACCTTTTTAAAAGTGATATGTAACAACATAAACACTGCAGTATTACCCAGTAGTTAACTGCAGTTTAGTTGGTCTGTTATGTCCCCTGTAGTCAACTTAACTTACATGACTTAAAAAAAAAACTGGCTAGAACCAGATAGCCATGACATCAAAAATTACCCCACCCCCTCCTACTCTCTCTTCCTCTATGAACAATTTGTAGAAACTAGCACTGAGACAATTCCCTAGTGCATAATAGTCCTCAATAAATAACTAAAAAAATAAGTGAGTCTGCTGCTTTTCCAGAGCCTGAAATGGTCTTAGGTGCTCAATAAACCTAGATTTTTAAGGGGCCTTAACTATCTGACACCTGGAACGTTTTCACCCTTTCTATGGAGAAACAGCTCCTTTTACAAGAACATTGTTATTGTTTTCTGTTTATATAACAGTAAAAGTGATTAACACACACACACACACACACACACACACATATTTACAAGTTAGCCACCTTCAGAATTAATGTGAATTATTTACTTTGCGGTTAACTCTAAATTTATGAGAAAGGTATCTCAAACTCAAATTATTCAAGTATTAGAGCTGAAGGGAAAAATGAGTTCTAGCTTGGATATTTTTCAATAGCAAAATTCAGAGTCTTTTCAAGAAGTTCTGGCACAGCTAAATACCCACGTATAAAAAGTTAAAGTTAGATTCTTCAAAATATATTAAAAAGGAAACTAAAAATGAACCAAAGCCTGAACATGAGTTAAACTAAAAAACTCTTAGAAAAAACACAGGCATAAGTCTTCATGACCTTGAATTTGGCAATGTTTTCTTAGATATGACTTAGAAGTACAGTGCACCAAAAAATAAGATAAATTGAACTTCATCAAATTTAAAAATGTTATGCTTCAAAGGACATTACGGAGAGAGTGACAATCCACAGAAAATGAGGGAGTGTTTGCAAATCATGTATCTGATAATAGCTAGCGTGGTGCCCTTCCTGGTGGCACAAAGAGTTAGGATTCAGCACTGCAAACTACCAGCAGCTGCTTCAGTGAGTTCAATCCCTGGCCCAGGAGGTGCTCTATATGGCACAGCAGACCTCTCCTGTCTTGCCTGCTGCTCCCCTCAGCAGTGTGGACTTCATTGATGTGCCTACTTTGCTCCCTACTCTGTCCCTGGTGAATCCTCTCACGGCCCTGGCACCTCTAGTCTGTACCCCAGTTCTGTATGCATAAATAAATATTAAAAAAAAAGTCAAGGATGTTTTTAAAAAAAAAAAAAAAAACCCTCAGAAAAAGGCACAAAATGATCTAAAAATTAAACAACCATTATATTATTAAAAAGATAAGCCACACCCTTAAATGAAACCATCAAAGACAAAAAAAAACCCTCAAGAACAAAAAGACCAACATTCCAATTTTTAAAAAGGCAATTTTTTAAACTCACCTAAATTGTATACAATGTTATATGTTAATTATCTCAATTTTTTTTTAAAGATTTATTTATCATTCATACAGAACTGGGGTACAGGCCAGAGATATGGAGGGTGAGAAGATTTCACCAGGAACAGAGTGGGGAGCAGAACAGGCAGATCGATGAAGTACACTAGGGGAGCAGCGAGCAGGTCAGGAGAGGTCTGCTACGCCATGTGGATCTCCTCTGGGGCAGGCGGGAATTGAACTCATGTGGAAGTAGCTTAAGCTTCTTAGTGCTGTGCTTTAACCCGCTGCGCCACCAGGGAGGGCCCTAATTATCTCAATTTAAAAAAAAAATTTAAAAAAAAAAAAGGTCCTAAATAGACATTTCTGAAAGAAAATATATAAATGTTCAACCAGCTTAAAAAAGATGCTCAACATAAGTCAGCAGAGAAACACAAATCAAAACCACAATGAAAAACCACTAAGATAGCAAAGGTCAAAAGACAGATGATAAGTTGGTAAGGATGTAGAATAAATGGAACTACTGTGTAGTATTGGTGGGAATGTAAATGGCACAGCTCCTATGGAAGTTTGATGGTTCTTCAATAAATTAAGTATGATTACTATAGACCCATTCTACCCCACGAGAGAATGAAAACATAAGTCCAAATACAAATATTCACAGCAGCACTGTCCATAATTTCCAAGAGAGATAAACAATCCAACTGGTCCAATTGTTAAATGGAGAAACAAAATGGATAGAGGCATACCATAAAATATTATATAGACAAAAAAAGGGAGTAATAATATATGCCATCACATGAGTAAGCCTTCATATTAAATGAAAGAAGTCAGTCACAAAAGGTCACATACCATATAATTCCATTAATATGAAAAGTCCAGAGACAGAAAGTAGATTAGTGGTAGCCAAAAGGAAATAGGAACTGACTGTTTAATGGGAACGATTTCATTCTGAGATGAATATTCTGAAATGGACAGTGGTAATTGTGGTACAATGTTGTGAATGTATTTAATGCCACTAAGTTAAAAATGGTAAACTGTATGTTCAAGTGTGGTAACTGGACCAAAGAGGTATTCCACAGTCACTGACTAATATGTAGCATGGGTTTAGCTAATCCCAGCCTCCAGGGGTGACAGCTTTTGTCCTGGGGAAAAAAAAAAAAAAAAAGCAGGTTCCCTGGATTTACCAGAATTGTCTAGCTCTTCTGCTTGAGGATTATGTACATAGAGTTAGTAATTACATTTCTTCCCTCTTTATGCCACATCATGCATGTGGATAGAAACTTCACAGGAAATACTCAGCTACTTTCAGAAAGGCAACTTCATATTATGCCAGTCATTCAAAGCTGAGAAACAAAAGTAACAAAAGGCTGTGAGACAGGTTGGGAGGTGGTGGTAAGGAGATAATTCATTTGACTCTGATAATACAATCACAAATATAAAACAATAAAGCATTATAATATTCTGAAATCATGTACTTATTCTAGATGAGTGTCTCAATTTTGGCACTATTAAGTTCTAGGGGAGAATAATTCTTTGTGGTGGGAATGGCTGTTCTGTGTACTGTAGGAGGTTTAGCAGTACCTCTGGCCTTCACATCAGTCACATTCTCCATTTGTAGCAATCAAAAATGTCTTCAGACAGGACAAAATAACCCTCAGTACAGAATCACTGTGCTGTACTAAAATTCTGAACGTCTTCTTTAATCTATGTAAACTGATGATGGATTGGGCTGAGAAATTAAGAGTTGATCTCTCTGTTATGGGTGAATGTCATAAAAGCTACAGGCTTGGGAAAGGGAAACTCAAGCAGAGAGAGCTAGAAGTCTCAGAAGTATGTTCCTAGCACCAGAGCAATGGCCACTCAGACTAAGGGGAGCTGGAGTAAAAGATCAAGTACCTCAGGGCAAATGTAGGGTCATTCTTCTCCCATGTGGAACAATAAAGCACCTTTGACCAGTGGAGAAATTGGTCCCTGCTCTCCACATGCTGGGAAGCCTAGCATGTCTGCCCTTCGCATAAAGACGGCTATTCAGACATTGCCAGGAAATAAAGAAAGGACTGCCTACCTGAGAGTCCCATTTTCTCCTTTGTCCAGGCTGGTGAACCGGCTGTAGAGGCGGGTGATCTGACTGTGAGAAACTGAAGAACACAAAATTAGCCCCAGTTGGAGAAGTACTCTTCCACTCAAACTGAACCCACATGTAGCCCTTCAGAAGCCAGGCCACCATCAGACTTCAAAGTGTATAAAATGGATGATGTCTCAACTTTGACTCATCTTTAGAGTGTGAAAGCAAAAAAGGCTAAAAGCTAAAGTAAGAAAGGAATCAGAATATAAGTCAAGAGCATCAAAATTGACTCTCAGGAATGAAGTCTAGGTTTAATTAAATGTCTGGTGGTTAAGATTTAACAAAACAAAGCCAAATTTAGTTTAAGAGGAAATTGTGAAACTTTCACCTTTCAGTGCTGACTCAGAGGTTATGAAATACATTCTTTGATTAAAAACACATACCATTAATCGTTTTACTTTTCAGGTTGCCTTTAGTGGGTAGGTACTGAATTAAAGATGAGACAAATCAAATATTCTATTTTTAAAATCTTATTTTTTCTGCACCAAGTAGTAGCAGCTTTGACATTTCCCTCACGACAGACCATTAAGTCTGGTAAAAGTTGAACACTGCCCTGTGACTAAGGGCTACTGAGTTCCACTGAGGAACTGGCTGCAAGAAGGCAAACTAAACAATTTGTAACATGTTCAAGTTATCATCAGATGACATCTACAGAAAGCTATTTTGCTTCTCATTTTGAATTAACAGGTACAAGTTGACAATGAAAATGAGGCAATAGCTTTGAAAATGCAAAAAGGAACTTGTGGGAAATAGCCTGGTCTCACCAAATAGAGGTAGGAGGTGAAAAAATGAGTTATCAAATGAGAAAAGACAACAGCCAAAAAGGGTGTGGCAAGTGTGGACTTTGTCCTAGGCTGTACCTTGAAAGATTTAAAGGGGTGGCCAAAAGGGTTCTGATAGTTGCCCTCCTCCTAAAGCTTATGAAACAAAAATCTACTTGCAGTCTTAGGAACAGCCTGATAAAGTAAACAGGGCACAGCAGAAGCAGAAAGCCAGTGGCCCTGCACTGGGATGAGAGGACACGAGGTAAGAGGTGTGGCTGGGAGTCGTCAGCATCAGTGTGGGAAGCGGCTCTGCTCTGCTCCTGTGTTCCAAGTGGGCAGACAGCAGAAGGCTCTCATTCTGAGGTGAAGACTCACTCTCAGCCAGGCCAGAACCAGCAGGGTTCCAGACACCCAGGAAGCAGCTGTGGACCTTTCTGGCAGCCAGGAGGGTGAAAAAAGCCAGATGTAGAGTGCACCCTTGTGAGGGTCAGGCTGGCAGAGTCCAATCCCATTTACAGCACTGCAGCTTCCCAGAAAGGATGAGTGAAACAGGGTTATGGAGTGAACTGAGAGTCCAAGGGAAAGTTCACGGCAAGCCCTGCAGGTCAGCTACTATCATCATCACTCTTAAACTATAAGCCTGAAGGTACAGTTTTCCGCTGTCCTAATTGGCTCTGTCAGCCACAATCAGCATTTCTTCAGGAACCTGACCAGTTTATCCTGGCTCAGGCGCTGGGCCTCAAAGGCTGCTGGAGAACTAGAGTTACCTTTAGTTTAACAAAAATAAATCAGTTAAAGAAAGACTCTGTTTCCCAAAAGATGTTTCAAAAAACCAAAATGTGTGCGTCTATCAGTAGTGTTTTCATTTCTTCATATACCATCTGTTTGTTATCAGTTATTTGTAGACGTCCTACAGTTGTAGTATCTTACTTTTCGTTTATTTATTCATAATTTCTCTGTATTTCTTTGGAGTCCTTTCAAACACTACATAGTCTACTGGATCAGTTTTTAGTACTTAGATATTATATACTTCAGATTACTTTTCTTCAAGAAGGAATACATTCAATTTTTATTTTTTATACTTTTTTTTTAATTTGAGAAAATAATCTATGTACAGGTTGAAAATGCAAATAGACTAGAGTACCCAATGAAGTCTCTCTAACTACCAACTTCTCCTGTTTCCCTTGCCAAAGGCACACTATTACCAGTTTCTTGTGAATATTCCTAAAAATTCCCTGTGTCTATATATAAGTTTGTATAGCAGTTTATTAGTTTTATCTATAAATAAATATATGTTTATTTTTAGAGCCAGAGGGGGAGTAAAACAGGCAAATCTACTGAAACACACTACTGCTGAGCAGCGGGGGAGTCAGGAGAGGTTTACTGTACCATATATGGGTCAGTTCCCTGGCCGAGGATCAAACTCTGGCTGTCAGCTGTCACTGAGACTTAAGCTCTAGGCCACCAGGGAGGCCCCAACAACTTAAGCAATTTTAAAATTGCTGTTATCCAATCCAACTCCATTGACAAATGAGCCATCAGATATCTCTGTAGTCTATATCCTCATTTGAAAGCACTAGGCACTTAAACCTCTTACAGCATGATTTTTAAGTCCCCACAAGAAAGTACAGGTATGTCGTTACACCAATTACTTCAGAAAATAAAGACCAGTTTATAGCTGCCTACATTCATAATTTACCAATATGTCAAAAATAAACATCTAAATGGTCAAACAACCCTATAATTACCACCTTCCAGTGCTAACTGGACTATATGGAAGCCAGCGGAGAAATGCACAACCAAACACCTGCTTTAAACACAACTCACTGTGCTCATATCTCAATCAATCTTCTAAATTTCAAAACTAATATTGTAATGATATTGTTACCAAGTCTTTGTTTTAAAAATCTTTAGAAAAACCTTCAATTTAGGTGCTAAACCTACCATCACAAATTCTAAAGCATACAGTTCAAAGCAACTTCAAGGAGCAAAAAGTTACTAGAACTACCAGGAAGGCAGAGCTCCGTTCCAGTAAACAGTTTTCATGGAAAGGCTCTAAAACTAGCAGGACACGTTTCCCGAACTTGTACCATTCTAGCCCAAAGGAAGTCTCAGGAATCAACAACTGTTCTCACATAAGGCCATGCACATGGACATTTCCTAAATGAATCTAAATTTTTCTCCAATGACAGGTAAATAATTATTTTATGTTACTACAAAATTACTTAAAAGGTCCTGCTAATCTTAACTCATAGCTTCCTAACATTACTACCTCACTCTCAGAATTAGAAAGCATTTCAGAGCAGTGTCAGCACTAAGGAGGAATAGCAGAGGAATGAATAAAAACCAAAAAGGAGTCAGAAAAATTTATTTTGCACTTGCCCTTAGCCTAAATCTTAATAGGAAAGAACAGATCAATAACCCAGTAAAACATACAAGTGTAACCAAAGGTAACACAAGGTAACAGATAAAGCCTGCACCTCCTGAAACACTCTACACCCCCAAATTTCCCCTGCTTCTCCTAACAAAATGACTTCAAGAGTTGGCCTTTTAGGGAAACTATAGACTAAGAGACCTAAAAGACATTAAAAAAAAAGAAAAAAGCTACCTCCTTATAATTGGGAAAATTTTAATATGATTTTAATATAGACCAAATAGAAGATAAAGTATGATCAGCTTTCTTAACAGCATTGTGATTATATAAGAGAAACCCCTGTTCTCAAGAGATTAATGCAGAAGTGTTCAGAAGTGAACCACTGACATCTGCAACTTTCAAATGATTCATCAAAAAATATAAATAGAGCAAATATAGCAAAAAAAAAAAAGCTGTTGAATTTAAAGTGGAAGGTTTATGGAAGTTCATTATACTATTTTAACTTTCCTATATATTTGAAAATTTTCATCATAAAAAGTGGGGAAGGAAGACCCTCCATGGTGGTGCAATGAGTGAAGCCAGCACTAGGAAGCTAGCCTCAACAAGCAAGTCAGGGAGCTGACCCACATGGAACAGCAGATCTCTCCTGTCTCAACAGCTGCTCCCCTCAGCAGTGTACTTCTTTGATCTGTCCTGCTCCCCACTCTGTCTCTGGTGGATCCTCTCACTGCCCCTGCACCTCTTGTTTGTACCCCAGTTCTCATATGCATAAATAAAAAAATCTTTTAAAAAATAAAGTTGGGAGGGAAGAGTTTTTAAATCATTTAATACAAACCAGTTAAGGGTTCTCCTTAGTGGTACAACCAGTAAAGCACAGCACTACAACTATCATAACCACTGCAGCACAAGTTCAATCCCCAGCCGGGGATGTGACCCACATGGCGCGGTAGACCTCTCCTGTCCTGCCCACTGCTCCCCTCAGCAGTGTATTTCAGTAGATCTGCCTGTTCTGCTCCCTACTCTGACTCTGGTGAATTCTCTCATCCCCTACCCCTCTGGCCTGTGTGCATAAATAAGTAAAACCTTAAAAAAAAATTAAAACCAGTTAAAAGTGCTCATTATTTGAGCATTTCCATTTCACTAGGAGCTAGAAAAGTGGTAGTTTTAGGAACTTCAGGCACGATGGCATGCAAGCTAGGTGAGGACCATGAAGGAGATTCAACATTTTAAGGCAAAAACAGCCTGAAGTTGAATTTCCATTTATAGGCTAGCTCAGGAAAAAAAAACAAAAACAAAACCCAGCAAACAAAAAACCACCACACTAGTTCTAACATCACTATACACTTTCAAACAAACAAAACCTCACCAGCCAGTGAGACGTATTTTCCAAACCTGTTCAACACCCTCACCATACCACATGGTACACATCAGAAGCTAAAGACTAAACACAACAATTGACTATTACTCAATTGGCATGAATCATTTCTCACAGATTAAGTTCCTGTTAAAAAAAAAAAAAAGGTTTTAGGGCCTCCCTGGTGGCACAAGGGGTACCACTCACTGCAGTCTGCAGTGTATTAGTTTAATTGCCGGCCAGGGAGCTGACCCACATGGCACAGCAGACCTCGCCTCTCTTGATTGCTGCTCCCCTCAGCAGTGTATTTCAGAAGACCTGTCTTTCTGCTCCCCACTCTGTCTCTGGTGAATTCTCTCACTGCCCTCCCCACCACTATCGTCTACACCCTGGTTCTTGTGCATAAATAAAAATAAGCTTTTTTTTAAATTAAGTAAAAATAAAGTTTTAACGAATTCAACTTAATGCTATGCTAAATTAACTAAGAGTAGAGATTATAGAAACCTCCAAGACACAGGGGACCTTTCTCCTAAAAACTTTTACTCAAATAATTTTTTAACTTTTGGACATGCTTCAATGTGAAGGCAGTAAGACAAATACGGAAAATGTTTTCTGCCGACTCAAAGGATTTTTAGACAATTTTTTTTAAACTATTAGAGGAACCATCAGTAGTTGTATCTTTTAAAAGTTTTATTTCCTCGGTGTTGGAAAAATAACACCTGTACTCGGTTTCTAATCCAATGCCATTGAAAATAGTAAAAGTTTAAAATGCTGTCACTTCCCCAGTTTTATATACACTGGGACAGTTTTATAACACATGCAATTGGCATTTTCTCAATAAGATGACCGTTATCCATGAGTTCAAAATAATATAGCTAACACTGACCTGGCACTGATTATATTAAGTAGTTTACATAATTTATCTCATTTAGTGCTTCATAAGACTCCTATAAAGTATTATTATTCCCATCAGCAGATGACAAAAAATGGAGGCTTACAGATAATTCTTACCTAGAACTACCTTTCCAAATCCTTAGAAATTACATTTCAAATACCAGCTACACTAATCATATATGAATTCTAATAGACTTACAAATGATGTATAATCATGAAGGGGATAAGGAGGGTGCCTATTCCACTAGGGTGTCTGATGGGTGTGTGATCTGACCTGAAGGGGTGTGACCCTATACCACTGAATCATACTCAGTGTTGTAAACCCAATGGTAACTCAATAAAAACTAAAATTAAAAAAAAAAGTATACAATAGCATCTAAAAACACAATGAATGTTAGAACAATGAGTTGCTGACTCTGGAGTCAATAAAATGTCAACTGCGAAAAACCAAAACCAAAAAAATATAATCACTAATTCCAATGCAAAGCTTTATATTGAATATAGTCAGTTTAACTCAAGTATACCTCATTTTTTTCACTGGCAAAGGAAATAGTGACAGTAATACTTTTTTTTTTAAAGATTTATTTATGTACACAAGAACTATGGTAAAGTACAGGTCAGAGGTGTAGTAACAGGGTGGGTGGTGGTGGTGGTCTGTGTGTGAGAGAATTCACTAGAGAGTCGGGGAGCAGAAAAGGCAGACTGATGAGGTACACTGCTGAGGGGAGCAGCGGGAGGGCCAGTCAGGCTAGATCTGCCATACCAAGTGGGTGGAAACTGCCTAGTGTCTGGGATAGCTTCCTAGTGCTGTGCTTTAGCCCGTTGCACCACCAGGGAGGGCCCAAAAGTAATACTTTTTAGTAAAGTATTTCTGATAGATAGTTCCCCACACTCTTAATGGAACAAGATGATGAAAATAGGCCAAATTCTACCTCTTCACCCACATCCTCATGTATCTGTTATTTTTAATCTTCTGAATCTTTAAAAAATAACATAACTCAAAAAACAAACAAAAAATAACTCTGCTGATGGGCACTAACTGGATATGACTCAACTCTGAGGATGGCAGAATGACTCTGTAGCAGGCTGCAGGGAGATGACAGCTCCTGGAAACCAACCAAAATAACCTTTTTCTCCATTCAAACTGGTTCATACATGCATCAAGGCCCAATTCCTGGCCTCCATATGGATGGCCCACAAGAATTCTGTCTTGAGGTCTCGAGATAGAAGCCACCCAATTTCAGCTATTTTATATCATGATGCTAATCTGAACTCTTGTAGGTTTATCTCCAAGATCAGGTTGTGAGTGTCTTTTGTCACCATCTGCTGAGTATCTAGTAAACTACTGAATAGACACTGTAAAAATTCAATTAAGTCCTTGTTTCATTAGACTTTCTGGCTCAATTATCTACATTTACACCGGTTGAGGTTGAGGTCCCTTAGGCTTGTGGTAGCTTTTCAGCAACTAGGAAAACAGTTCTTCCAAAAGTACTTAGGTATGCTTGCTCACAAGTCATTCGGTAATATAACCCAGAATCCTATTGCAAACCAAGCCCTTTACATTTGGTCAAAGGAATTAAACCAGAATGGGATTATGGCTCCTTTTATCATAAGACAAAAACGAGCCTTTCCCCATCTTCATTATGAGATTTTTTAATTTAATTTTTTAAAAAGATTTATTTATTTGTTCATACAGAACTGGGGTACAGGCCAGAGGCAGTGAGAGGATTCACCAGAGACAGAGTGGGGAGCAGAACAGGCAGATCGAGAAGTACACTGCTGAAGGGAGCAGTGGGCGGGTCAGGAGAGGTCTGCCGTGCCATGTGGGTCACCAAGGGGAAGGAGGGAATCGAACTCAGGCGAAAGCAGCTGGAGAGTCTTAGTGTTGTGCTTTAACCAGCTGTGCCACCAGGGAGGGCTGAGATTTTTTATTTTAATCAGGAATATATGGGTGGTGATGCATCAAATGTAATTAAAACCTTGCTGAGGGCCTCCCTGGTGGTACAAGGGGTTAACTCTCAGCACTATGGCACTATGAAACTATCAACAGCCACTGCAGCACAAGTTCAATCCTCAAATGGGGGGGGCCTGGGGCGGATGACCCACAAGGTGCAGCAGACCACTCCAGACTCCCAGCTGCTCCCCTCAGCAGTGTATTTCAGGAGATCTGCCTGTCTTGCTCCCATTCTGTTTCTGGTGAACCCTCTCACTCGACCCTCCTCCCCTGTACTTCTGGTCTACACCTGTTCTTGTATGTATAAATTAAAAAAAACAAAACAAAAAACACCAGCTGACTCCAAAGTGCCTATGTTTCTACTTGGGAATCAGAAAAGTCACAAAATGACCATAAGGTGAAGTTGTCAAACAAGTCCTGCATATTATGAATAGCTATTCTTCAAGCAAAATGACAAAAAGGATTGGATTAATAGATGGTGAGCTCATGTCATTAAAAGTCTTTATGAACAGGTTTAATGGCCTTATGTTAGAATGATAAAAGCAGTAAACCAATCTGAGATGGGACCAGCTTAATATCCTTTCCAACTTTAAGATTTTAAAAGTTGGCCTTCCCTGGTGGGGCAGCGAGTTAAAGCACAGCACTAAGAAGTTTAAGCCACTTCTGCATGAGTTCTATCCCTGCCTGCCCCGGAGGTGACCACATAGTGTGGCAGACCTCTCCTGACCCGCCAGCTGCTCCCCTTAGCAGTGTACTTCGACAGTCTGCCTGTTCTGCTCCCCATTCTGTTTCTGGTGGCTCTCCCACCCTCCGCATCTCTGGCTTGTATCCCAGTTCTGTATGAATAAATAAATCTTTAAAAAAAAAAGATTTTAAAAGTTGACATTGTTGGTAAGTGCAGGACAGTCATCTGATTTACCTCAGAGCACCACTGACTCTGTAGTTCCCCCAGTACTCTTCAACACTACCTGCATAGGGGCCAATGACTTACCTGACAGGCATCACAAAGAGACAGAGCTCAAATGCTGACATACATAACTCATTTAAAATACATTAAAATGAATTAATACGGAGAGAAAATATTATATGCAATATAAAGGGCTATCCAGTACATGATGGTGATTCGCAGAGCTTCTACATTCCCAATGCCTTGATGCCCCTTTTGTTCCGGGGATGAGGCTGAACTATAAAAAAAAAAAAATTGTTCCTAGTACAAATCCACACTGAGATTTTTGGAACATATCTAATTTCTATAGCGGCTGCATAAAGTACACCAGAATAATGTAAACCAGTGTATCTGAAATTAGAATAAGAATCGTCGGTGTAAGCAAAAATTGGTGGCCTGAGTATCCGTGGGTTTTGTCCACAGGTTCAGAATGAAAGAAGTCTCAGACTTTCAGGGTCCTGATTCTTTAATGGCCTCCCACCAAGTCATGCCTTCCAAAGTCTTACTATAAGACTGGTGGCAAAAGTCACAAGATCTTGCCGCAGTAGTAGTAAGAATGTGATTTCCCACAGTTGTCAGTGGTTTTAAGTCCTTAAACGTCACAGGAACGGATGTTTTCTGTAGGATCCATCCAGAGTTCCTGAATTTGTGGTTAATGCGAGGGAAGGAAATAAAGGAGTTCATGAGCAAAGGGAAGAGAAAAGAGCCGCGTCCGTGCTTTAGGGATGAATATGACTCCCGCCTTTGAGGGAAGGAAGCCCCACACGGAATAACCCTCCAGTCCTCTACCTCTAAACCCCAGCACAAGAAGATGCCCTGGACGCGCACAGGACCCCCAAACCTCTGGGCGCCCCAGCTCCAGACCTCAGCGACAGCTTTACTCGGTCTGGAGGCCAGCCGGAGGCGCCCGGTCCTGTTCCCACCTCCTACCCGAACTCACAGCCAGTCTCCTTTTTTATCTCTTCAAGCTCTTCGTCCCTCAATAACGTGGAGGCCCGAGACCCCATCACCGAGCCGGGAGCTCCTCCGGGAGCAGCAGCGCCAAAATAGACCGCGGCAGGAGGGAGGGAAGAAGGGAGGGGAGGTAGGGCCAGGGGTCAAGAAGGGAGAGGGCAGTGTTTCTACTGCGGACCGGAGAGCGAACCCGGGGGCGGTGCGCGGGGGTGGGCGGTCCCAGGATCAGCCAATCAGAAACCTGAAAGCGCTGGCGTAGACCCTAACGTCGACGCTCCTAAGTCCAGCCCCGCGAATGAATCAGCCCAGGGCTGCACGGTCTCGCTTAAGACAAGACCCCGCCCCCGGAACCATAATGCCACCGGCCTTAAAGGGCCAATGTACTCAACCCGCTGGTCCTGGCAACGCAATTAAAAGGGCGACGCCGTCGACCCGCTGTTTACCACCAAAAAACCCGCAGCTGGCCACGTAGCTAACCCTTTCCTCACCGACTTTTAACACTGGGCTTCCCACCCAGCAGGTGAAACGGTGGCGGAAAGACACAAAAATAAATTGGGGGAACCGTGAACCCTCGGATGCGTCTCCTGGGAACTGCATGCCGGGAGTTGCGCCTCCTCTTTCTTGGCGGTTCTCTCTCCTCCGCGCCGCCGTGGGCGCTCTGGAGCCGGCCCGCGCGGGGAGCCGACGGGCAGCTCGGGAAACACCCGGGACCGCTGGTTCCGCCCGGCTGGCGTCGGCTCGGCGAGTCGAGTCCATTGCGTACTTTTCTCTGGTTTGCTTTGGGGACTTTGATAACCGCCGCCGCGGGCCGGGAGCTCCCCAGGGTTCTGAGTTCAAAGAGCAAAGCCCAGAAAACTCACCTTTTGGCTAAAATTGAGACAGGGTTTCCCAAACTTCCTTTGGTGGAAAAAAACCCTAACGGCTGCGGGGAGTGAATTCCTGGCTTATGACCCGCGGTTTACAGTAATCTTATTTTGTCTTAAAAATGAGGAATTTGCATTTTCTTTCGTGGCTTCTTTTTCACTTGTTGGAAGTGTTTAAAGCCACTCGTGAAAGTTTTAAGCCTAGTTCTTAGCCTGTGGCTTCAGCCGCCCTCATATCCCCGCCCTCCCTGCCCAGTGTTTGAGTGAGCAAGCTGGGCAAGTGCCCAAATTAATCTTAATTTTTAGCTTTTACCTAAGGCTATGACCGCTAAGCCTGAGGCCCTGGCGCTGGTTTCCCGGAGTAGTTTTCGTGACTGACCTGCCCTTTTTTGACCTAGTGATGTGCTTTCCTATGCAGAGCGTGAAATTCTGGATATGCCCGTCTAGAAGCTGCAGGAGCTGCTTTTATCTTGCGAATGTGGGTATGATAGGAACGCCTCGAGGTCAGCGAAATGAGTCTGCCTTGAAAGTCAGTTTCTAGAATTAACTGTGGTTTTGCCTTCCTAATTTTGAATCTTATCTTTTGCATCTGTCTTCAATCAAAGCTTTCCTTGCTTTGTCTTCATTTTTTTCCTGACTCACTTTAACATTTCTAAAATGTCCTTATTGTGCAACACTTCACAAACTTTATTGCTATGTATCTTTTTAAACTATTAATTCTTGCCTCTGTAAAGGACTGGTTTTTCCAGTTTTGTCCTCTTTTGTTTTTTTAAAAATTCTCTTTGCCTGTTGGATTAACTTGAACAAAAAATTATTTTCTCAGGCATTCTAGTGACTTGCTTTATGTTCTCTCTGGATGCACAACACTTGGTCTTGCTCTGGGCCACACAACTCCTCTGCTAGATGCTTGGTTTTACTTAAGCTGGCTCCGTTAACTTCTAGCTGTATGGCTTTGAGCAGATATCTTAAATCTTTAAGCCTTATTTTCTACATCTATATACTAGATGATGGTCATTGTGAACAACAGATAATAACAAATCTTAAGATACCAAAATACATGCATTTTTTCTGTCTAAAAACACCTTGTAACCACTTACCTTTTTCCTTTTGTATTAATCCAAAAGTTACTTCAGCAGTGTTTTATAGATAAATTACAAAATTCATTGGTTGACTATTCCTAAGATGGCTCAGGCAAGTAAATTTTAAATTTAAAGCACTATAGAAGAACATTTATCTGGAGTTATAAATACAAGAACACCCAAAATACAGGATTGTTCTAAAGAGTACTTTTTAAAAAAGAATTCACCTTTTAAATTACATTCTTACCCTAAAGAATATGAGCATCTACTATAAATGGTAGTTACAGTTGGGTAAAGTTATTTTTTTGGGTAAAATTCTTGCTGTACTTTGTACATTGTTACATTAATACTTTGTTAATGATGAGTATATGTGCCTACAAAAAACAGCTATATTTCCCAAAAGTAGGGTATAGCCTGTGGCAGCTTGATCTGTCAGGTTGTGCCTCACACCATTCCTTTAGGTGTGCTCAGGACAGGGTGGAATGTCCCTTGCAATGACATGGCAGCTGCATTAGTAATGCAAACATTGTTATTATTCTAAGTCACTTAGGCTTGGTTGGTAGCAATGTCAAAGTCTGGAGGTGTTAATCATCAAGAAGAGGCAAAATCCAGACGAGGTTAGATTAGATCCCAGACATTTCTGATTAAATAGTTTGTTGTAACATGTGTTGGCAAAATATATTGATATCAAATTTTTAACTTGTTTTTTTAATTTTTAATTGATGTTGAAAAGATGTATGTATGTGCCATTAAAGAGACTACGTGTTCTGCTTGTCCCATTTAGCTAAGGAGAATTTATTTTATATTTTAAAAGATTGATTTCTATTTATGTATGCATGCAAGAACTGGAGTGCAGGCCAGTGGTAAGAGGGAGGAGAGGAGTCACCAGAGACAGAGTGGGGAGCAAACAAGCAGATGTACTGAAATACCCTGTTAATGGGAAAAGCAGGCAAGAGAGGAGCGGTCTGCTGAGCCATGTGGCTTTTAGCTCCCTGGTTGGTGATAGAACCCAGGCCTTAGTGATCGTGCTGAGATTCAACCCCTAGGCCACCAGGAAGGCTCCTAGCTAAGGAACATTTATAGACCAGGAAGCCAAGACTTACTTGTATGGAGTCATGATTTTCAGTATACCATATATAAGAGTTGGTGCTTACAGTGATCCTTTTTCATTATTTTTAAAAAAACAAAACTGAATTACTCTGATACTTTATTTTTGTTGCTCTTTCCAGGTATGGGAAAAGGTACATAACCCTATTCTCTGATTTTTAAAATCATTAAGATCTCTTTTATTTTCAAGTGTTTGGATACTCAAAGAAGATTATTTGAAGACTGCTTTTGGATGGAATGGATCCCAGTAGTGACTACCATTTCCTCAATCAGATTTTGTGGAGAAGGGTGAAACTCACATTGGTTTGTGGCGTCTTTGAGGGAGTGCTCCAGCATGTGGACCCTAACAAGATTGTTGTCCTAAAAAAAGGTTTTCCTCTATTCACTCATTCATTATATGCTACCTTTTAAGAAGTGAATAGCTGAGTTTGGGTGATGGGTTTGGGCTTCATCAGAGGGAGGCTTTTTTCCTATTTTACGGAAGGGGGGTGGGAGGAAGTTTTAGAATGCCCTTTTCCCTAGCAGAGCAACATAGCTGAATATGTTGGTTTGTCCCACTTCTATATTTTTATAATGACAGATTTTCAATATATAAAATTTTTTTAATTGCATATTTCCTGTTTCTCTCTGGAACAGCTTTAATTTAAAAGTAACTGTTCTATTCGGTAGAATTGTTTTTGGCTTTAACAGACAAATTCACAGAGACAGTAAGGGGTTAATTTTTTATTTGGCTCCTGAGGAATTGTGATGGCTGAATGATGCCAGAACCTATGAGGCCCTGTGCTTCTGTTTTTCTACCTCAGTGCTTATGTTATGTTATCTTCAAGCCTCTGCACATTCCAACTTCAATTGCCGTTCGTTGTGAAGGATACAACTTTAGGAAGAGCCAAATGGAAGAGATGCATAGGTCAAGGTGTGAGAAGAGACACAAAGTTTTACATGCCCTCTCTGGATGTGTCACCTTCTTAGCTCCTTCATGTGTTTGCTTACCTGGAGGTTCCAATAAGTAGTTTTTATTTAGCTAGAATATGGACTCACTTGGATAGTTGTTTTCCTGGCATAATGATGTTCAAGTTCACAATTGTGAAACTCATAATAAATGAGACTTGAGAGATTAATGTGATTGTTATGTCATATTGTAAGTTGAAATTGACTTTTTGGGCTAAGATGGGATTGACTATATGGACATTTGTAATACTATTCATTCAGTAATTATTTGCTGGCACCTTTATGTCCTAGACCTTGTCCTATAGGTACTAGGGATAAAAATAAGGATTATATTATGCCTGTCCTCAAAAAACTTCAACTAGTAAGAAAGATAAATAAGTAGAAAGGTATAATGCAATGTATATCCTCTCTGATAGAGGGATGTATAAAATGAAATGGAAGCAGAGCTTCGACTAATTTAGATCTGGGAGTGTTAGGACAGTGAGGCTGGCCTCCCAAAGGAGGAACTAATGATGGGTCTACATCTGGATTCTCAAACTGTGCATAACACTCACATGGAAGACTTGTTATAACACAGATTGCTTGGCCCTACTCCCAGAAATTCTGATTTTTTTTTAAGATTTATTTATTTATGCATATAAGAGCTATGGTGTAGGACAGAGATGTGGAGGGCAGTGCAAGAGAGGATTCACCAGAGATAGAGGTAGCAGAACAGGTAGACTGACTGAAATACACTGCTGAGGGGATCAGTGGGAGAGACAAGTCTGCTGCACCATGTGGGTTGGCTCCCTGTCTGGAATTGAACTCACTCTGCAGTGGCTGCCAATAGCTTTATAATGCTGAGATTTAACCCTTTGTGCCACCAGGGAAGCTCCCAGGATTTCTGATTCTGGAATGGAGGCCCAAGAATTTGCATTTCTAAAAGTTTCCAGATGATGCTGATGCACTGTGTCAAGGAACCACCCCTTGAGAACCATTGTCTCACAGACAATGCAGAAGTAGTAGCATGTACAAAAATAAACAGACATGAAACAGTACATTCAGAATAAGGAAGTAAATTTCAACAAGAAGATGTGGTAAGAGTTAAGGCTGGAGAAGTAAGCACGAGATAGACCAGATAGGCCTCATGTATCGGCATCTGGACATAGCTGAAAACTGAGGAGCAATCAAAAACTTTAAGTGAGAGGCAATGCCAGGTTTCAAATTCGTTCCCAGAAGCCAGTTAGGAACATGCTCAGCAGTTAGAAACAGATTCACTTTGAATAATTTAATAAATTGGGAGTTTATTCTTTTATAAAAGAAGGCAGGCATTCTAGAACTACTGTGATTTCAAAATGGCAGGGGTCTAGTGTTCATCTTTTTACTCCACCCTCTCTAGCACATGGCTGTAGATCCCAAGGCCATTTCATAGCTGGAGTTGCCATTTCATAGGTGGAGTTACTAACATGAGGAAGAAGAAAGATTAAATCCCTAGAAATCTAATAGATTACCACTATGGTAATCTAGCAAGGGAGACAGGGCAATTGCTTGCCTCAAAAAATGGCATTGAATAGACAGTAGTTTTTAAATGCTCCATATAGCATTTAATATAAAATATGTTGGTATATTTCTCTCTAGTCTTTTTATTTTTAAGTTTATTTATTTTTAACAATGTATTTATTATTTATGCATACAAGAACTGGGTTACAAGCCAGGGGTGTAAGGGTGGGGTGGTGTGAGAGGACTAACCAGAGACAGAGTGGGGAGCAAAATAGGTGGATCTATTGAAGTAACACTGCTGAGGGGAGCAGTGGTCATGTCCAGAGAGGTCTGCCACTCACCTCCCTGGCTGGAGATGCTATAGTGGCTGTAGATAGCTTCATAGTGCTGTGCTTTAACCCTTTCTGTCACTAGGGAGGTCTATTTCTCACTATTCTTTAGTTACACAGATTTTATATTGTTGACAAATTGTGTCTATCATACTTTCTCAGTTAACACTATAACAAACATTTCTCTATTTAAAATGTCAATTTAATGGTTAAATATTTTAAAACAAAAAGCTTTAAAATATTTGTTTTATAATTATAAAATACAATTTTGTATTTAAAATCTTTGTAGTTATCTTTTTAGGAATAGTACCAAAATGTTCAGTTACGAGGTGAAGTTTTGGATATCTTAAATGTTTTTTTTAAAGATTTATTTATTCATGCATACAGAACTGGGGTACAGGCCAGAGATACAGAGGGAGAGAGGATTCACCAGAGAGAGTGGGGAGCAGAACAGGCAGATTGACCAAAGCACAGTGCTGAGGGGAGCAGCAGGCAGGATAGGAGAGCTCTGCTGGCCAGAGATCAATCTCAGTCTGCAGTGACTGCAATAGCTTCATAGTGCTGTGATTTAACCAATTACGCCACTAGAGAGGACCGTATTTTAAATGGTTTTGATGCATATTTACAAATACCTTTTTGAAAGGGTTGTGCCTTTTTAATTTGATACTAGTAATATGTGAGTGAATTAGAGGAAATCTGGTCTTGGATTTTATTTAATGTCGATGTACATTTTCCCTTAATTTTTGATAGGCAAAAAGTGATGTTTCATTTTGGCATATTTAAAAAATATTCCTAAAGAAGTTGAACATGTTTTTTGATACTTGTTTTTTAATTTAATGTACTATGTGAACAAGGCAGGGGATGACATCACTGTGACAGCAGTATGAAGAAATGAATGACTGAGGGAGAAATTGGACACATGGAAAGAGACAGGGACTTCGGACAATGAGGGGACACAACAAAGGGGAAATGATGGGAATCATAGCTAAGGTTCAGCAAGTAAGGAAGAAGATAGAAATGCCTAGGAGTTGGAATAAGTAGCCTGGTAAATAATGAGCTAAAACAGAATGGGAGATAACTTCTACATCTATAACTCTCAGATTATAAGATAGAAGTAACTAAGGAGACTGGAAGGAGCAAATCAAGGAGTCAATGATTACAAGAATGTGGCTTACAATCACTTGAGTCCTGCGTTTGAATCCCGACTCTTTCACCACAAGTGTGACCTAAGGAAGTTATTCAACCTTTCTGAGTCTCATTCCTCCATAATGAAGATAATGAAATGTCAATCTATTATTTATTGGACAGTTTAAAGTAGGCAAATACTTAGGATGCTGCCTACTTTGAAGTGGATGCTCAGTATGGTAGCTCTAGATAGTCAGAAAGGAAATAAATATGAAGAATGTCTTATAAGTCAAAGAAGAAGGGACAGTAGTATTGTCAAAAGAGACACTGGAACCCAGTAAAATTACACTTCAAACTTTTTTTTTTTGAGAAACGGTGATCTTTGATCTCAGTGGAATAATAAGATTGGAATTCAATTATGTTGGATTACTGAGAAATGTAGAAATATAAAACTGTGAACACATCTAGAAAAATGATATCATGTTGCAGACATGGCATCTAAATTTCTACCAACTCTCTTACCTACTCATAGAAGACCCTTGTATTATCCCAGATAATTTATAAGTTCAAGCATGTAGTTGATAGGGTGTGGGCTCCAGAAGCAGTGAATTGTCTTAAGTGTTTTTACTACTTTCAAGGCTACATAGCTTTGTAATTTATTACTAGCTCACCATTCCTTAGGGAAAAAATAATTTGGAGTACTTTTGACAGATAATTTCTTACACTTTTAGGGAATATTTTTTGTTAACTGGATAAACTATTTCCTTTAACAGTGAAGAATGTGGAGACTGGTCGAAGTATCCCTGGAGTGAAGATGTTTTTTGGGCATGAGATTGTGAATGGTAAAGTTATATTTCCCAAATGCTGCTTTTGAGATTTGTAGTAGCAATAAAATATCGGGTCTATCTCATTCCAGTATTTAAAAGATACCAGCTTGCCTTTAAAATTGCATTTATCAACTCATAAAGTTGATACTTGAGAATTGATCCTTATCTTACAGTTTCGAAGAGTACTCTAATATCAAAACAGTCTCAGATAATTTTAATCATTTTGGTTTTAATGATGTGAGCATTACTGGGCTCTCATTACTATACATAGCCAGCAGACAGGAATCTGAACAGAAAGGAGTTGTCTGGCTCAGTAAATGAGTTTAACATACTCATATTACATTTCTTATCTGAAACCTTGGGGCCAAATGTTTCAACAGTCAGAATTATTCTGGACTTTTGGAATACCTAACACAGGGTATATACTGTTCATGTTATTTAATTCCTTAAGCAGGACTGGGTAGTACTTTGTAATAAAACACATTTCTGCAGAGAAACAGGTAGAATATCATAGGACTATAAATAGTGTATCATTCAGGTTTTGCTGCCAAAAGTTTACAAACTTGTTTTTGTTTTTAGAGACTTTGGTCTCTGAAGTTGTTGTTTGTTTTCTGCTTGTTTTTTTCTGCCAGCAAAAGCCATTTAGCAAGTATAGGTCCAATTGTTAGCTTAAGTGTAGATAAAGTTTATCTGGTCAGTGTGCTTCAAACAGGTCAAATAGGATAAAAGAAAGGGGTCAGTAGTAAGAATGGGTTACTTTAAGAACTTAAGAGAGAAAGCCTTTAAAGGAGAAGTTAAATCAGTGTGGTAAAAATGAAATATGTAAGAAAATAAATATAAAAAATTAGTGTGGTGTTGAGGGAGGTGGACAAATGGAGGCCTGAGACCTCACAGAGCTGTACATGTTTTACTTACGGGGCAGATATGAGGAAAGGAAAGGACTCCTGTCAATGACAGATGACTGCTTAAAAAGTTGCATTGTGAGGGAATTTTAATTTAGGAAAAGATGAAAAAGTCACCCAATGAATGACTACAAATCCATAATTACTTAAAGTCAGACAAGGCCTGCCAGCTACCTAATTCCTTTCTCTCTGAGTATGCTACTGTTAACACTTTGTGTCCCTTAGACACCTTTTTATAATGACAGTGATGATGGTAGTGGTGAAATTCTTAACTCTGTTTTAATTATTAGCCTTTGCAACCCAGCAGAGGCCTGGACTGGACTAAAACTAGGCTGTGCATAGGGTTGTAAAGAGAATTGAAGGGATTACTACTGCTGCCTCCCTAACTTGAAAGAAGGCTGACAACTTGACTGACCAACTTTGTTATTTATATACCTTGACTGATCTCCTAAATTCTTTCCCAGGATTTGGCCTTTGTTCATAATTTTTAACTCAGAAGATGGCCTGCTCCTTCTTTGCCATGTGACCCAATCAAGCATGGTAGGGTTTCCCTAAAAAGCACCTTGAAGAAGAATTATCACAATGAAGGATACTTGACTTCTAATGTTCTTAGTGATTTTGTTTTCTTCTCCAGACTCAACACTTTAAATAATACAGGAAAAAGAGACACGTGAAGCATAGTGGCCCCTGACATGCTTTACCTAGAAAGTTCCCTAAGTGTATTTCATTGAATTTAAGGTGCTGTATTACTTTTCCCACCCTAAGCAAGTAAAAGAAGCTACCAAATTGTTAATGTGTTTTTATTTTTAATCATTGAACTTTGAGGCTGTTAAAAATGTGCATCTTAAAATAAGTAGTATATAGTATTTTCCTATATTCTCTTACACTGGTTAGGATAAAGATAAATGGTTTTAGAATCTCTGTAGAATGTTGTCTCATTTCTTTTGTGATTTCTAATCTGGTTATTTTTAAATTACATGACACTGACCTATTAGTGCACCAGTTTGTGAATGGAAAGGATATATGTCAACAACTTAAGAGAAAACCCATGAACAGTGTATTGAAGGAAAGTGAATTAGGATGGATGTGAATAGGAAAGAAAAATTTTATCTAGAACCAGTCTAAGTCACCACAAAGATTCCCTGGAACAGAAAGTATTCAGGAAGGATGCAGAGAGATTCCTAGCCCTACTGAATGACCAAGGCAGCTTTATAGAAACATAATGCATCTTCAAAACTTCGGGTAGTCTTCTGGGTTCTATTGATTAAGGCCTCTGTAAACTGACATTTCATTTCTAATTACCGTTTGTAGTTCGTAGTCAAGTGGAGGGAGGGGGAGGTAAGGGAGTAGTTAATCTCTTGGATGGAAGCCATCTGGTTATTTTGCAGTGGAACTACTGGATGAAGTGGAACAAGGTTCAGTGAGAGAAAAGACGTCTGTTAGGTATGATGGATTAATTTTCTTACTTATGATACTCAAAAATATCTATCAAGGTACAAAGCCTTAAAACTTACTCACTAGCTGCATAATTCCTAAAAAAGTCTAAAGTGATATAAATGCGGAGCAGATGAATGCTTCCTTCCTTAGATGGCATCGGCAGGTCAGTGTAAGCAGTGGATGAACGGCCCTCGATTAGAGGTCCAGAGTCCTTACCATTTGTCACAAAATTTGTTTATGGCACTAGCAATAAAGGTCAAGTTCACCTGAGTTGTTTTTTCTTTTGGAATGCACAGTCCAAATACAGGAAGAACCAGGATAGATAAAATGAAAGATGCAGAACTAAATGCATGTGAACTTTCATCATCTGGTCCTGAGGCACCAGTCACCTCTCTACTGAATGACCTCAAGTACAGCCCATCGGGTAAGTACCAGGGATTCTGAATCTCCAAATATCATATATTGTGGTTCCAGACTCTGTAGCATTTATGCGACTCAGAGTCAAGATTCTGTATGCAGTATACAGCAATGCCATTGCTTTAAGGCTCTGAATTAATATAAAATATCAAAATTTATTTTTAATTTTATTTAATATTTAAGAGAATACTATTTGCCTGAAATTTTGGATATATAGTATATTCCTGAGCTCATTGCAGAGGAAGCAGATCCTAAAAGAGATAAATGAGCATAATGTATAGTACTCTAGTGCTAAATCCTAAGAAGGGAAAAACAAGAAAGAAAAGTATGTAAAGGCTTGGGCTTATAATTTTCAAGTGTCCAAGACAAGCCTCACAAAAATATGGTGGAAAATGTGGGTAATATTTGAGTAAAGGTCAGATAAAAGAGGAATATTCCTGCCACATAAATATATATATATCTGGGTACAAAAGCCCTGAGATAGGAACATGCAGAATCTTGAAGGAACAGTAAGGAGATCAGTGCAACTTGAGCAAAGAGAGTTAGTAGGGAGGGTGAGGTAGATCTTGGAGGACTTTGTAGGTCATTGAAGGGATTTTGGCTTTCCTCTGAAATGAAAAGAGAAGCCACTGGTAGTCTTTTTGATTTTACTGTTTCCCTAATAACTGATTGGGGATGTTGCACATGAGGATGTTGAAGATCTTATCATGAACTAATCTACCATCTGAATGTCTTTAGTGAAATCTCTGTTCCTATCTTTTGCTCATTTTTTATTATTTTTCGGTTTTAAGAATTCTTATGTATTTTAGATATAAGTCTTTTCTCAGAGATCGGCTTTGCATATATTTTTTCCAAGCCTGTGGTCTGTCTTTTCTAGCTCCCATTGTTAATTTTGAGAATTATAGTTTTTCCATTTTTTTTTTAAAGATTTATTTATTCATGCATACAAGAACTATGGAACAGGCCAGAGGTGTGGGGGTTGAGAGGATTCGCCAGAAACAATGGGGAGCAGAACAGGCAGATTGAGGAAAAACACTGCTAGGGGGAGCAGCAGGCGAGATGAGACAGGAGATGTCTGCTGTGCCATGTGGATCAGCTCCCTCTCTGGGGATCCAGCTTGTGCTGCAGTGGCTGCAATAGCTTCACAGTGCCGTTACTCAACCCCTTGTGCCCCCCGGCAGGTGCTTTTGATGTTGTACCTAAGAAATTTTCTTTCTAACTCAATGACCAAAGATTTCCTCCCATGTATTCTCCTTATAAAGCCTTATAATTTTAGGCTTTACATTTTCATAAATGATTTATTTTTAGTTAATATTTGTATATAATGTGAGATATGGGTCCAGGGTATTTTTAAACTGTATGTGGTATCTAGTTGTGCTAGTACAATTGCTTAAAAGTCACTGTTTTCTCAACTCACTTACCTTTGCATCTTTGTTAAAAATTGTCTGTAGGTTTATTTCTGGACACTTTTGTTCTATTACATTTGTTGTCTTTACATCAATACTAGACAGTTTTGTTTAATGATAAAATCTTGAAATGGTGTAATATGTGTTTTGGCTATTCTGTATGCCTTACAGTTCCCTATGAATTTTAGAATTGTTAATTTCTACCAAAAAGAAAAAAACTGCTGGACTTTTTATTGAAAATGTGTTGAATCAATAGATCAATTTAGGGACTATTGATACCTTAAAAACATTGAGTATTCCAATCCACTAATTCAATATATCTCTCCATTTATTTAGATCTTACCCACAATGTTTTGTAGATCTCTGTATATGTTTTACATGTATTTAGCTACATTTATCTCTAAGTATTTCATTAAATAGTTTTAAACTATAGGCCTACCTCAGAAATATGTTATTCAGAGAACAATTAAAATAATTATTACCATAAAGCAAGTCACACAGGATTGGCCAAACCTTCAATTTGTATATAAAAAAGCACCATCTGGCAAGTACAATAAAATTAAGTATACCTTGCCTTGTCAATGGTGTTTTTTTAAAACTTTTGTTTCCATTTGAGGTAGTTTTGCATAAAAACTATTGCTTTTTTACTTCTGTTTTAATGGATCCTGGATATTAAATGGATACTAAGAGGACAGCGATCATAAAAGCATAAATACCGGTTAGGAGACTACTGAAATAATTAACTTCAGTAGGTATGATGGCTTGGACCCTGTGGTGGCAGTATCACTGGTGAGAAGTGGTGAAATTCTGGATGTAGGGAGAAGTCAGTGTAACAAACTAACAAATTAGATATATGTGTGAAAGAAAGAGATGGATCAAGGTGACTTCAGGGGTTTGGGCCTGAGCAGCCAAGTATAGAGTTGCTATTAGATGGGAAAGACTGGGTGAGGAGGATTTGGGGGAGGTGATTAAGAGTTTAGTTTTAGTCAACCTAAGTTTGAATATAAGCCTAGGGATGAGCAGAAAGATCTGAGATACAGATATAAACTCAGGGGTTTGCCTGTAGTTTATTTAAAGCCTTGAGACTAGATGAGATTAAACCACTAAATGAGTAAGTGTTGGTAGAAGAAGGAGGTACATACGTTGTGTCCTGTGCTACTTCAACCATTCTGAAGTTGTAGAGGCTGGGAGATGGAAAAAACATCTGTCAGGACTCAGAGAATTCTGACATTGGCCTACATCTAGGAGTAATTTATATTAAGCTGTTCTTTTTTTGTGATGACATGCTATTAAAAGTGTATATGGGGACCTCCCTGATGGTGCAGGGGTTAAGTCTCAGTATTATGAAGCTTTCGGCAGCCACTATAGCACAAATTCAATCCCTGCCAGGGAGCTGACCAACATGGTGCAGCAGACCTCTTTTGTCTCGCCTGCTGCTGCCCTCAGCAGTGTATTTTAGTCAGTCTACCTGTTCTGTTCCTTATTCTGTCTCTGGTGATTCCTCTTACCCACTACACCTCTAGCCTGTACCCCAGTTCTTGTATGCATAAATAAATAAATCTTTAAAAAAAAAGTGCGTGTGGTTAAGTATTTCCAGACATTACTGGAAATAAGTAAATAATCCACTTCAGGCCCTCCCTGGTGGCGCAGCGGGTTAAAGCACAACACAAAGAAGCTTAAACCACTTCCTCATGAGTTTGATTCCCGCCTCCCCCGGAGGAGATCCACATGGCGAGGCAGACCTCTCCTGACCCGCCTGCTGCTCCCCTCAGCAGTGTACTTTGTCGATCTGCCTGTTCTGCTCCCCACTCTGTCTCTAGTGAATCCTCGCATCCTCTGCATCTCTGACCTGTACCCCAGTTCTGTATGAATAAATAAATAAATCTTTAAAAAAAATAATAATCCACTTCGTAAGATTATCATTGGTGAGTCTTTCCTTATTCTCAGTTGACAAACAGGATGCTAATGGTGTTCATTATGTGGAGGACCTTTGAATTGCAATGGAATAGTAATTTATGAGCATGCTAAAAATAACAGGAGACTATCCTATATACAGTGAAGAGCAGTACATATAAATCTATCTTTCTCTTGTAGAGGAAGAAGAGGTGACATACACAGTTATTGATCAGTTCCAGCAAAAGTTTGGGGCTGCAGTAAGTATTGTTCTCAGTGGTCTAAGTATTGTTTGTATACTGGTATCTTATCTGTCTCATGAATTTCTTTAATTACAAGCTCTTTTCCCTAATAATTCCTCTTCCTTAATAATTCAACAAAATATGTGAATGTCTGATATATACCAGGCATTATTCTGGGGCTTGATGTTGAACAGGGTAAAACAATAATCAAACTAAAGTTCCAGCTCTTAGGTAGTTTACATTTGAATGTAAGGAAATAGACAAAAGTTGTATGGCAGCTGGTGAACAAGTGCTATGAAGAAAAGTGTTTTATAGGGAATAGAGTTGCAGGGAGTTCTTATTTTATATAGACTGGATAGAGAAAACTTATCTGAAGAGATGACATTAGAAGAGCATCTGGGGCCCTCCCTGGTGGTACAACAGGTTAGGAAGCAGCACTGTAAACTGGCCACAGCTCCTTCAGTGGGGGTTCCATCCTCGGCCCCAGAGGTGACCACATGGCCTGGCAGACCTCTCCTGTCTCACCCACTGCTCCCCTCAGCAGTGTACTTCATGGATCTGCCTGTTCTGCTCCCCACTCTGTCTCTGGTGAAGCCTCTCACCGCCTCTGTACC